TATCTGTGGCTGTATATACACAGTAGGCGGTCTAACTCATTAAATTTAAGGATTTTTATTATGAGCGCCCTGTTACTCAAACGTAGCCCAAGCTACGCTCCCCCAAATCTTACAGCAATAAAGTTATGGTCGTGCTTCATAATAAGGCATATTGTGATATGTGAAGGGGCATAGATTTTTATAAAAATATCAGCTGTTTTAGCAGTGGAAAATTCCGAAAAAGTGGAAATTAGGCGTACTAGGTAAACTTATGTTTCAAAAGTACGGCAAGCCTTTTCATGCAAAACCACCGAGTGAATAAATCAGCACAAGTGAAATGAAATTGGAAAATAATTCTTTTGCAAAAGTTTTGGATACATATGCTTCCATATTACGTGCATTGTAATGTTTGGCCGTTACCAAACAGCCCTGATTTCGAGAATGTAATCCAACAGGTTTTCACGAGAATGGCTAGCTGTTCTTCCGTCTAAAGCAACCACATTCTCGCTTGATTTTGCCCATTTTTAGGTTACAGATATAAGACATTTCTTACGCTTGCGTGCGGACATGCCGGTCAGTTACTGATATATCTAAATTGAATTGCAAGTTTCAATTTTAACGATCCCATTTTTTGTACACTAAGATAAATCTCCTTCCGTCACATACCTTTGCAAATAATTTGGGAGTTCAATTAAAGGGATATTTCTTGAAAGCTAAATTAACACTTAACGATTTTTACTGGCTTCAGTCGATTGGCCATAGGTAATCATTATGTTCTACTTGCTTACCAAACCCTTCAATAAAAGATATTTCTTAAAAGCATTTGCCTAAATAATGAACTTTTAAACATTCTTTCTTACGCAGCTGTCTGTTTGGATCATGGTTTCAGAATTACCCAAACATGATAAGTCGTTGTCGAGAGAAAACGAACGTCCACAAAAAAGATCGCGAATGAATATGCCTAGGATTAATAGAAAATGTTTTATAATAAGTTGCCTCTTGAAAAATTGCTTTATTTACATATTTTGGCGTCGGATGTCTGCGTACTTAATTTTTTAGAAGACTTAGTCTAGATCGGAATGAGAAATATTTGGCAGTTTTAGTACTTCCCAAAAATAAGAGATATATCTTATGTGGTAAACGAAAACAGCTTTCAATATGTTTATTTACTTCTAGGCTCAGTTCTACAACAATAAAGGCAGAACAGAGTGGCAAAATATCAACGACAATTTTGAAAAAAAACTAATAATCTTTTGACCGCTCCGTTTCAAAATTGTCTATTTGTTGATTCTGCTCTATAGAGTAAACATGTTAACACATCTTTTGCCTACGACTTGACAGTGGAAATTGACGGCATTTCACGGGTGTTCGCATATGCGCTTGCTTAGGGTCGTTATTTTCTGTGGGCTATAAGAAACTGCAACCTTGTAAGATTACTAATCAATGTAATGGCACTAAAC